TTATATTATATTATATTATATTATATTATATTATATTATATTATATTATATTATATTATATTATATGATGTGATATGATATGACATGATATGATATGATATGATATGATATGATATTATATGATATTATATGATATGATATGATATTATATTATATTATATGATATTATATGATATGATATGATATGATATTATATGATATGATATTATATTATATTATATTATATTATATTATATTGCATTGTATTATATTATATTATATAATCTTATATTATATATTCATATAGCGAGAGAGAAAGAGGGACAAGTTCCCTGCCTGACAGAACCAGCTTTCGTTGAAGCAGCTGGGTAGCCCAAATGTCGTCACCGTGTGCATCCATGCACAGCGACGCAAGAAAGCAGAGAGCTCGGATGGTCTTCAAGGCACCGGACATATCGCGAGATGAAGCGGTTCGAGATCGGCTATAAGAAAGTGTCTGCGCAGGCAGGCGACACGAATACGTTTGTTCTCATGCTGTTGCATCATGCATTTTTGAGCTTGCAGACCCTAGACCCTGGAATTTAAACCCTAAACTTGCTTCCTTCTGTTAAAACTAAGCGGGAGACCTCCCTCGCCAAGCCTCAACCACCTTAACCCTGAACCTTAATTTCAACATTTGAACACTTAGCCCATGTACATAGGGCATGATTTAAATCAGCTTCCCGCATTTCTGGGTGTGTCTTGTCGTTGGAGAAATGGCATAGACAAGGGGACAACTCCATTTTTTCACAGCCCCACATGCATGATAAATGATCCACGCATGAGGGCAGCACACATAGTCCAGCAATGCCAGCAGCTGACCTGGTCCCAACCAAAGTCTGGGGGTGTGCGCGTGTACAAGGGTACAGGGGCTGAGATGCTAGGGCTTTAGTTTAGGATTCTAAATTAGACTTCAAGTTTCGGAGGCTTCAAGGTGTAATTGCAGGAATTCGGACTGGGGAGTTCGGCAACTCATCTCGAGTGTAGGAAGACAGACCCTGAACCCTGCGCTCAAACGGAAAATGCATTTCCTTGATCAAGGGTAGCTAAGGGGCCAACTTTCCTAAGCACAAAGAAGCGTCTGAGTTGCTCAGGTGCTTGTAGAATTGCAACCTGCTGATAAAGGATCGAGATAGGATCGAGCATCTGGGCGCCTAGCCTTCATCAAGCCTTCCGGTGATGCCGACCAGGTCGAACTGCGTAGCAAGAGTGAGCTTCGCCCTGTCGACCGAGCCATCCCCCAGCCAAGTCTCGTACTCACAGCAGGAGCGCAAGAGCATGAACATGGAGGTGGATCCAGCATCCTTTCCTGAAGCCTGTTGCAGAACTGCTCAAAGGACCAGTTGCCGGTGACGAAGTCCCTGCGGAAATTCAACCAGGACTTGAAACCTTGATGCGAAGCCGCATGGTTCTCGACATCAGCATGGTCGACACTTATGTTTGGGAGGAAGCCGTTCCCGCCAAAGTAATAATAAGAACGCAGGCTCAAAGGAATGATGGTCAGAGCCGCCAAGGCTGCGTCACGTGGGTGGGCGATGTGGATCGTGCCTTGCAGCTCAGGGTCGGGTAGCTGATGGTGCTATATAGAATGATGGTCAGAGCTACTCCAGGAAGGATCGTGAGTGCAGTATGGTGGGACCTCTTGTCGTTAACTATTTCGCAGCTTAGGATTTAGGAGAGTTTGGGAGACTTAGCGGTTGGGTCCAGGCTTTCTAGGCTTTAAGGCTTGAGGAGTTGAGGGTTTACGAGTTACAGTTTCGGCTTTCCAGCCCTTGCTTGGACCCTCCCCTTCTGCACTTCCTGAGCTCCGAGCATCTTAGAGTTTTGGGTTTATGGTTGGTCCCTGGCATAAAGCGCAGTTTGCACCACAGCAACAGTGTCGAGAGCCACTTTCGTATCAACGCTGTCTGCGAGTGTCTGCGCACGCTGTCTGCGAGTGGGTGCAACTCAGGCAAATTGCAATTGCGGAAAGGCATTGCTAGGGCCTGAACTTCTTGAAGGTCTCTACGGCAGCCAGCAAGTTCTCCTCGCTGCCGAAGAGTGTGAGGGTCCGGCGCTGGAACACCTCTTGCGCAAAATTGTAAACGGCAGTGCTCTTCTCTGCTACGATCGTGGCCAAGGCCTTCTCCTCTCCGGTCCAGTCGAGCTTATTGTCGCTGTTGTCGAAAATTTGTGGGATACTTTGGAAAGTGGCAGCTAGCTGCTGAGGCGTCAGGCCGTAGAGCTTGCCAAGGCTCACCAAGCCTTCATCAAGCCTTTCGGTGATGCCGACCAGGTCGAACTGC